GAGACACACTGAGACACACTGAGACAAGGTGAGACACACAGAGACACACTGAGACACATTGAGACACACTGAGACACACAGAGACAAGGTGAGACACACAGAGACACACTGAGACACACAGAGACAAGGTGAGACACACTGAGACAAGGTGAGACACACAGAGACACACAGAGACAAGGTGAGACACACTGAGACACACTGAGACAAGGTGAGACACACTGAGACACACAGAGACACACTGAGACAAGGTGAGACACACTGAGACACACTGAGACAAGGTGAGACACACTGAGACACAGAGACACACTGAGACAAGGTGAGACACACTGAGACAAGGTGAGACACACTGAGACAAGGTGAGACACACAGAGACAAGGTGAGACACACTGAGACCACTGAGACACACTGAGACACACTGAGACTCACTGAGACAAGGTGAGACCACTGAGACCAACAGAGAACACACACCACTGAGACGACAGGTGAGACACACTGAGACAAGGTGAGACACACTGAGACAAGGTGAGACACACTGAGACACACAGAGACACACTGAGACAAGGTGAGACACACTGAGACAAGGTGAGACACACTGAGACACACTGAGACAAGGTGAGACACACTGAGACACACTGAGACAAGGTGAGACACACTGAGACACACAGAGACACACTGAGACACACAGAGACAAGGTGAGACACACTGAGACACACTGAGACAAGGTGAGACACACTGAGACAAGGTGAGACACACTGAGACAAGGTGAGACACACTGAGACAAGGTGAGACAAGGTGAGACAAGGTGAGACAAGGTGAGACAAGGTGAGACAAGGTGAGACAAGGTGAGACAAGGTGAGACAAGGTGAGACAAGGTGAGACAAGGTGAGACAAGGTGAGACAAGGTGAGACAAGGTGAGACAAGGTGAGACAATGTGAGACAAGACTGAGACAAGGTGAGACACACTGAGACAAGGTGAGACACAGTGAGACAAGGTGAGACACACTGAGACAATGTGAGACACAGTGAGACAAGGTGAGACACACTGAGACAAGGTGAGACAAGCTGAGACAATGTGAGACACACTGAGACAAGGTGAGACACACTGAGACAAGGTGAGACACACTGAGACACACTGAGACAAGGTGAGACCCACTGAGACAAGGTGAGACACACAGAGACACACTGAGACAAGGTGAGACACACTGAGACAAGGTGAGACACACTGAGACAAGGTGAGACACACTGAGACAAGGTGAGACACACTGAGACAAGGTGAGACACACAGAGACAAGGTGAGACACACTGAGACACACAGAGACAAGGTGAGACACACTGAGACACACAGAGACAAGGTGAGACACACTGAGACAAGGTGAGACACACTGAGACAAGGTGAGACACACTGAGACAAGGTGAGACACACTGAGACAAGGTGAGACACACTGAGACAAGGTGAGACACACTGAGACAAGGTGAGACACACTGAGACACAGGTGAGGACACACAGAGACAAGGTGAGACACACTGAGACAAGGTGAAACAAGCTGAGACAAGGTGAGACACACAGAGACAAGCTGAGACAAAGTGAGACACACTGAGACAAGGTGAGACAAGATGAGACAAGGTGAGACAAGGTGAGACAAGGTGAGACAAGGTGAGACACACTGAGACAAGGTGAGACACACTGAGACAAGGTGAGACAAGCTGAGACAAGGTGAGACACACTGAGACAAGGTGAGACAAGGTGAGACACACTGAGACAAGGTGAGACACACTGAGACAAGGTGAGACACACTGAGACACACTGAGACAAGGTGAGACACACTGAGACACACTGAGACACACTGAGACACACTGAGACAAGGTGAGACACACTGAGACACATTGAGACACACTGAGACACGGTGAGACACACTGAGACACAGAGAGACACACTGAGACACAGAGACACACTGAGACACAGAGAGACACTGAGACAAGGTGAGACACATTGAGACACACAGAGACACACACTGAGACACACAGAGACACACAGAGACACACTGAGACACACAGAGACACACTGAGACACAGAGAGACACTGAGACAAGGTGAGACACACAGAGACACACTGAGACACAGAGACACACAGAGACAAGGTGAGACAAGGTGAGACACACAGAGACACACAGAGACACACTGAGACACAGAGACAAGGTGAGACACACAGAGATACACTGAGACACAGAGACACACTGAGACAAGGTGAGACACACTGAGACACACTGAGACACACTGAGACACACAGAGACACACAGAGACACACTGAGACACACAGAGACACACTGAGACACAGAGAGACACTGAGACAAGGTGAGACACACAGAGACACACTGAGACACAGAGACACACAGAGACAAGGTGAGACAAGGTGAGACACACAGAGACACACTGAGACACACAGAGACACACAGAGACACACTGAGACACAGAGACAAGGTGAGACACACAGAGATACACTGAGACACAGAGACACACTGAGACAAGGTGAGACACACTGAGACACACTGAGACACACTGAGACACACAGAGACAAGGTGAGACACACTGAGAGACACAGACACACACTGAGACACAGAGACACACAGAGACACACAGAGACACTGAGACACATAGAGACACACAGAGACACTGAGACACACACAGACACACTGAGACACACTCTGACTCTCTTTCTCTGCTCCAGATGGATATCTGGAATATGTGACTGGCCGCTGTGAGTTCACCTCCCCTGAGCTGACGGGCATCCAGTACATAGAGTCATACTATTACAACAAGCTGGAGTACACCAGGTTCGACAGCAAAGTGGGGGAGTATGTTGGATACACTGCTTACGGTGTGAGGAACGCAGAGTTCTGGAACAAGGATCCTTCAATCCTGGCCCAGGAGAGAGCAGCGAAGGAGACGTACTGCCAAAACAACGTTAAGCTTGAATACCAGTACGCCCTGCCTTTCTCAGGTGAGTCTGTAGACCCTGCCTCTCTCAGTCTGTAGACCCTGCCTCTCTCAGTCTGTAGACCCAGCCTCTCTCAGTCTGTAGACCCTGCCTCTCTCAGTCTGTAGACCCTGTCTCTCTCAGTCTGTAGACCCTGTCTCTCTCAGTCTGTAGACCCTGCCTCTCTCAGTCTGTAGACCCTGCCTCTCTCAGTCTGTAGACCCTGCCTCTCTCAGTCTGTAGACCCTGTCTCTCTCAGTCTGTGACCTGTCTCTCTGTAGTCTGTAGACCCTGTCTCTCTCAGGTGAGTCTGTAGACCCTGCCTCTCTCAGGTGAGTCTGTAGACCCTGTCTCTCTCAGTCTGTAGACCCTGCCTCTCTCAGGTGAGTCTGTAGACCCTGCCTCTCTCAGTCTGTAGACCCAGCCTCTCTCAGTCTGTAGACCCGCCTCTCTCAGTCTGTAGACCCTGTCTCTCTCAGTCTGTAGACCCTGTCTCTCTCAGTCTGTAGACCCTGCCTCTCTCAGTCTGTAGACCCTGCCTCTCTCAGTCTGTAGACCCTCCTCTCTCAGTCTGTAGACCTGTCTCTCTCAGTCTGTAGACCCTGTCTCTCTCAGTCTGTAGACCCTGCCTCTCTCAGTCTGTAGACCCTGTCTCTCTCAGGTGAGTCTGTAGACCCTGTCTCTCTCAGTCTGTAGACCCTGTCTCTCTCAGTCTGTAGACCCTGTCTCTCTCAGGTGAGTCTGTAGACCCTGCCTCTCTCAGGTGAGTCTGTAGACCCTGTCTCTCTCAGTCTGTAGACCCTGTCTCTCTCAGTCTGTAGACCCTGTCTCTCTCAGGTGAGTCTGTAGACCCTGTCTCTCTCAGTCTGTAGACCCTGTCTCTCTCAGTCTGTAGACCCTGTCTCTCTCAGGTGAGTCTGTAGACCCTGCCTCTCTCAGTCTGTAGACCCTGTCTCTCTCAGGTGAGTCTGTAGACCCTGCCTCTCTCAGTCTGTAGACCCAGCCTCTCTCAGGTGTGTCTGTAGACCCTGTCTCTCTCAGTCTGTAGACCCTGTCTCTCTCAGTCTGTAGACCCTGTCTCTCTCAGGTGAGTCTGTAGACCCTGTCTCTCTCAGTCTGTAGACCCTGTCTCTCTCAGTCTGTAGACCCTGTCTCTCTCAGGTGAGTCTGTAGACCCTGCCTCTCTCAGTCTGTAGACCCAGCCTCTCTCAGGTGTGTCTGTAGACCCTGTCTCTCTCAGTCTGTAGACCCTGTCTCTCTCAGTCTGTAGACCCTGTCTCTCTCAGGTGAGTCTGTAGACCCTGTCTCTCTCAGTCTGTAGACCCTGTCTCTCTCAGTCTGTAGACCCTGTCTCTCTCAGGTGAGTCTGTAGACCCTGCCTCTCTCAGGTGAGTCTGTAGACCCTGCCTCTCTCAGGTGAGTCTGTAGACCCTGTCTCTCTCAGTCTGTAGACCCTGTCTCTCTCAGTCTGTAGACCCTGTCTCTCTCAGGTGAGTCTGTAGACCCTGCCTCTCTCAGGTGAGTCTGTAGACCCTGTCTCTCTCAGTCTGTAGACCCTGCCTCTCTCAGGTGAGTCTGTAGACCCTGCCTCTCTCAGTCTGTAGACCCAGCCTCTCTCAGGTGAGTCTGTAGACCCTGTCTCTCTCAGTCTGTAGACCCTGCTCTCTCAGTCAGTGTAGACCCTGTCTCTCTCAGGGAGTCTGTAGACCCCTGTCTCTCTCAGTCTGTAGACCCTGTCTCTCTCAGTCCTGTAGACCCTGTCTCTCTCAGGTGAGTCTGTAGACCCTGCCTCTCTCATCTGTAGACCCAGCCTCCTCTCAGGTGTGTCGTAGACCCTGTCCTCTTCTCAGTCTGTAGACCCTGTCTCTCTCAGGTGAGTTGTAGACCCTGTCCCTCAGTCTGTAGACCCTGTCTCTCTCAGTCTGTAGACCCTGCCTCTCTCAGGTGAGTCTGTAGACCCTGTCTCTCTCAGGTGAGTCTGTAGACCCTGTCTCTCTCAGTCTGTAGACCCTGTCTCTCTCAGTCTGATAGACCCTGTCTATCTCAGCTGTAGACCCTGTCTCTCTCAGGTGAGTCTGTAGACCCTGCCTCTCTCAGGTGAGTCTGTAGACCCTGTCTCTCTCAGTCTGTAGACCCTGCCTCTCTCAGGTGAGTCTGTAGACCCTGTCTCTCTCAGTCTGTAGACCCTGTCTCTCTCAGTCTGTAGACCCTGTCTCTCTCAGTCTGTAGACCCTGTCTCTCTCAGGTGAGTCTGTAGACCCTGCCTCTCTCAGGTGAGTCTGTAGACCCTGTCTCTCTCAGTCTGTAGACCCTGCCTCTCTCAGGTGAGTCTGTAGACCCTGTCTCTCTCAGTCTCGTAGACCCTGCCCTCTCCTCAGGTGATGTCTGTAGACCCCCTGTCTCTCTCAGGTGAGTCTGTAGGACCCTGTCTCTCTCAGGTGAGTCTGTAGACCCTGTCTCTCTCAGGTGAGTCTGTAGACCCTGTCTCTCTCAGGTGAGTCTGTAGACCCTGTCTCTCTCAGGTGAGTCTGTAGACCCTGTCTCTCTCAGGTGAGTCTGTAGACCCTGTCTCTCTCAGGTGAGTCTGTAGACCCTGTCTCTCTCAGGTGAGTCTGTAGACCCTGTCTCTCTCAGGTGAGTCTGTAGACCCTGTCTCTCTCTCACCTGTCTGTCTCTCTACCTGTCTCTAGTATAGTAATGCTAGGACACACACACACACACACACACACACACACACACACACACACACACACACACACACACACACACACCCACACACACACACAACACACACACACACACACACACACACACACACACACCCACACACACACACACACACACACACACACACACACACACACACACACCACACACACACACACACACACACACACACACACACACACACACAGAGAGAGAGTTTCAGTTAGTTACTTTTATAATGGCATACCAAAATACACCGCATTATTAGTTTTAACATTTTGAAATATGTGTACCAAATAATATCAGGCTGTAAATAACAAATAGTTTTGTTTTTTTAACTTTATTTTGAATATATTATTTTAATGTTGTTTGTGGCTGTCGTTAAAAGCCCTGCATTATCCAAGGTCTTTTCTCTCTCATTTTATTCTTTTGTTTTTCATTACGCTGCGTAGCATTTTATTTAGGAAATGTATGTATATATAAAATATAACTATAAAATGGTTATTTTTGTCTCAATAATTATTACACCACAATAGAATTGACAAATTGCAAAAGTAAATGAATGTTGTTCACTCAGCAATCAGTGAGGGAAGTGAGAGCGGCGGGATGAGGCCACCTGTGTGATGTTGGGCCTGAGGCACTGTCCAAGATGTGCACTAGAGAGGCTGCTCCTGTCCTGGCTCTTGATAGCATTCATTGAGGAACATCCTGATTCTCAGATGTATGTTGAGGGGAACATTGTGAGTAGGAACATAGCAATAGCTCTGGTGTTTTTGAAACGAGCTTGGGGAACCACGTTGATCCAAAAGTCACACACTGGTGCATCCTTGTGTTGAGCTTTCAGCGACTCAGAGCTTCCCATCTCTAAGACCTCCATCTGAAGAGCTCCCTCTTCTATGGAAGGCACCAGCCTGTTGGCCTCTCCAGTCCACTGCCCGTCTGCTGACACAGAGAACGGCTGTCTGAGGAAGAGGAGGATGTCACCTGAGGTTTTAAGGGAGCTTTCAAATCGCTCCTTGAAGTTTTCTTCCAGTTTTGACACAAAATCCTTCATTACTGGATCTTCCGGCATTTCATTCTTCACGCAGACGTGGAAAGTGCAGCTTCCTCCCATGAACGTCTCTCTCCAAAAGCTGCAGCTTTGACCGAAAAGCTTCAACCGCCTCGTACATCTCAGCAACAGTGTGGTTCTTGCCTTGCAGCTGCAGGTGAAGGTGATTTAGATGATGATGTCACACAGAACATGAACATCTGCTATCACCTTGGTGTCAGTTACAAAGCTCAGAAACTCATGGGCTTTTTGGCTCTGCAGGCTTGATAAGAACCAGTTCATCACGCAGGTCGCACGCCCTCTCCAACACACGGCCCTTGCCCCAGCCAGCGAACATCGTTGTGTAGTAAGAGATCCTTGTGTTCAGATGACATTTCCTCTAGCAACGATCTAAAAAGGCGATGCTGCAGACTAGAGCTCTCACGCACAAAGTTACAGTCTCGTCACAGTATCCATCGTTTCTTTCATTTTTCCACAGTTTTGCGCACAACACTGATTTGGGAATGATGCAGTGAAATGTCAGGAGCGCCGGTGTCAGTACCAGATATGTTCGGGCTACCAGATATGTTCGGGTGTATTTCCGTCGCATCCGTCATATCCGTCATATACTCACCTCCCTCTGCTCCCAGCGCTCTGCTGCCACACACCGGCCGTCTGCGGAACTGCAGCCGGAGGAACTCGGGACAGCTTGTTATGTGTGGGGTGCTATGGTGGGGTCCCATGTACTTGTGCACATAAATAATGTTTCTAATTATTTACAATTAAAAAATATATATATTTCTGCGTTACTTTAGCCAACACTTTTATAAGGCCACTAGATTAGATAATTACGAAATGTGTAGATAGAATACATATATTTCAGGTTGTTATTTTGTCATTATGTTTAATGTTGTATTTACCTTTTAGTATTTTTATATAGTATCTGAACTTTGGAGAGGAGTTGGGAGACACACGACACATCAAATCACATCTACAGATCAAGGCGAAGCGAATGGATGTACTCCCATACTCCTAGCGTGAAAATGTTTGTGAAAACGTGTGCAAAGTCTCCGAAAATCCTAAAAATAAGCTCATATTTGAATTCATCATAAAAAAACACATCATTCAGTAAAAACAAGGCCCCACTGATCATCTACTGTCTGAGACGATTCCAGGGATGTCTGGCTTGAGTTTCGACCACCAGGGAAAGTGGACAAATGTGCCCGAGATCAGCCTCTTAATTTACCCAGGGCCTAGTGCTTGGCTTTGGGCATGAACATTCAGGAAACTCCCCTGAGTATTTTATTAAATATCTGAACTTTGGAGAGGAGTTGGGGGACACACGACACATCAAATCACATCTACAGATCAAGACGAAGCTAGTGGAAGTACTCCTAGCGTGTGAAAATGTTTGTGAAAAACGTGTGCAAAGTCTCCGAAACGGAGCAGTGGCTGTGAAGCTAGCTTTGCGGCTAGCGGTTAGTTGTTATTGTTTGAAGTTGTTGCTATGGAAACAA